AACCGCATCATACAGCGTTGTGAGCATAAGTTCAATCTGGGACATCATCTCATAGCTGCTATCATCGGTTGAAGCCACGTACCACCAACCTCCACACACAGCTTTAAACAACCACAGTGCAGGATGTACTACTAACTCAGTACTATCGGCCCCCAGGTGAAGCGGGTTTTAAGGAATACCATAAAAATTAGCCAGTGATATCTCGAGCTTCTTCTTACCAGGTCCGACAGGTTTAATTATCTTTCTTAACACTGGCAGTATGCTTATAGTAATGATAAGTGAGATCACTGATGATTGATCGGATGCAATAAACTTTCACTGGTAGTGGTAAAGATTTGTAAGAAAAACAATTGTGGGGTATTAAACTCGGCCGCCAAAGAGAGGGTCTGAGAAGCGCTTGCTGTTCTGAGCGCTCGTTCATGGCGAGCAGGAGTGAGTGACGTCACGTCCATCTTGAGCGGACTCAAACTCCTGTTAAGGTGCATTGTGAACCCTAACCCTAGCTCTTAGTACTATACCCGCTTACTTGAGATGATGACTGACCGCGTGGCGGCAGTCAAATGTAAGCGGGCGTAATAGACTGACGAAGTACCCTAACCCTACGCCTATACCTTAATCCTAACCATACCTAACGTCTAAAAAATAAACCCTAAGCACCTATTATAAAGCTAAATTAAATTAATATCTTTGTACAGTCGAAACTTCAAACTGTGACGTATGTCTGAAATATGTGAGCTACGAATTTGAAACAAGCTTTCAACCTTTTGCGTTCAACTCGGCTAGCCTCACATGCGACAACAATTAACTGCTCGTCGTTTGGTAGGCTTAATTATTCTAAAAAATACATTAGTACGAATAGCACAAACTACACTTGTGTTGTTAAACTGTGCACTTACGCTGTCACTATACAGCTGACAGATGATGTGTCACACCAGAATCAGTCCACCAGAATCCAAACTTTCCATTCATTCGCGCTTGCAGTCGCCGAGTTTCCGGCTACGATTCCTGCCAGCTGTCAGCAGGCTAGACTGGTACCCGGTCCTCGATGGGAGTTCCATGGGGTATGGGATCCATCGAGTAAACTAAGCCGAGAGGTGAGACCGCGTACCAGTCTATCAGAAGGCGAAGGACAGAGGTGACATCTTTTGGAAGAAAGTTATATTACTCAAGGAGCCGTAGATCCTTGATACCTGCATACACCATACACCCAAGACACACCTTGCTATCTTGTATCTTGGGGTCTCTCTCTTGCATTTCACAAGGCACTGATTTTCTCTTTAGAATGTGCAGGGAAATCCTGTAGATAAGGATATTGATAATGCCTTTCTAACATATTCTAGCGATGGTTTTAGTATTTTCGGCTACCTTGCTGCTACCTACCTACCTTAGGCCACCTTTTTATTCTTTTTCTTTTACAGAATTTTTGTTGTTGTTGTTGACTCGGTAGGGTAAGAAAAATTGTCGTTTTGTCAGATCAAACAAGTCAAAATACAGTGATAATGTGTTATACATTGTTTGATGAAGGAGGAACTTGTAGCTTGTATCCAAATTAAGCAACATCATGTGCATTTGGTCGACTACGTCAAAGAGTGTTCACTACACGTGACCTTACAATAATCACTAAAGTGCAAAAGTTACAACCTACGTGTCTGTATGCCACTTTGATGTATGCAGTGAAACCTGGACTCTGTACATCATCATGGCTGCAAGTTCGAACAACCTGAGAACATTAATCAACAACGTCGACCTGCGCTGAATCATGCTTATTAATGGATCATTACATTAGTACGAGGAGGTCTGAACACATACAGGGGCGGCGCACAAGCGCGGGGCAGGGGGGAAGGGCGGCGGTCGGCCCCCTATCATTTGAAAGAAAAAGGAAAGAAGAAAAAGAAAAAGAGAAGCAAAAAAGAAAAGGAACAAGAAAAAGAAAAATAAATGCAAAGTCTGAAGATGAAGGGGGTACCCCCCACATGGCAAAAGGAAAGAAACAAGAAGATTTGGCCTAATAGGGATGTCGAATGGTGCTAGGCAAAGCTGGACCAGCTTCGATCGAAAAATCGAAAAATTAAGTGTCGAAATTCAATCGCCATATAAAAGCGTGCTTAATTTGGGATAATCGACTGTGACACGGTGTTATTTCCTTGGGAGTCCAGTTGGGACATAATTTGTCGATGATGCTTGGTCTTCGCCCCGCGGAAAGGCAAGCACCTTGAGCGGTGCAACATACTTATAAATTATAATTCACGAACTGTTCAGACCTGAGCGCTCCTAATATACTCTTACATGCTATCTTAATTTTTTTACACTCCGCCCACGAGTGGAGGGGAGGTTATGGTGATCGGTCTGTGGCGTTTCCGTGTACACGTTAGCGTCGTGCGCGGCGCCTGTGTGTGTGTGTGTGTGTGTTGTGTGGGTGTTTGTGTGTGTGTAGTGTGGTGTGTGTGTGTGTGTGTGTGTGACGACGATCGATATTAGCGCGTCAGCCGAGCGAGCCGCCATCCGGACGGCTGTGCTGACTGGCGGAGCGCGCATACATTGGACGCTGGCGCAGTATCCGTGGGTTTTCGTGTGTTCGTGAGTCCGTATGGCGTATGTCGTGCGGCAAGGTATGCTTCTCTCCGTGAGTGCCCTCTGTCTAGTTTTAGTTAGCTGTGTGTTGCGTACGCGCGCGCGCGCCGTGCGCGTGTTGTGTGTGTGTCGTGTGTGTGTGTGTGTGTGTTGTGTGTGTGTGTGTGTGTGTGTTGTGTGGTGTGTGTGTGTGTGTGTGTGTGTGCGTGTGCGTGCGTTCATCTCTCTCCGGGTCATGTTTTTCTCTCCTCATACATAATACAACTATTATTGGGTTCAAGTGCTAGCAGCTAGATTTTAAAGCAAATCACTGTTCGCCCTCGACAGTCTCCGGTAGACCCGCTCTTTTTGTAAACGTGTCGCAGTTTTCCATGAGCATTGAATTTCAACGAACATCCTAAGCTAGTTCCGGAGACCCATTTTCACGAAGCATAGCCGGTTGCCAGGCATACACATTCAACAAACATTAGTTCCAGAGACCACCATTTTCATGGCTGAGTTTTAGTTCCAGAGCCGCCCCCCCATTTTTAACTTGCAGTGGATACATACCATCTGAGATGCCTACCATAATGTGGGGTGAGTCCCCCCACGGCGGTTTTCATCTCCTTGATATATGCTGGCTCTTGGTTCCTGACAATTTTTTTGTTCAGCAATTTGAGGGCTTTGACTTATGCCAAAGCTCTGAGAGCTTCCCCGGACCCTGCCAGGGGCACTAAGACGGGCCCTGGGGCCGGACTTCATCACAACGTTGGCGCAAGTGTATTGCATACACAGAGTTTGCTACGAAGTAGTACGGTAAAGCTCGTAGGTGCGATTCTCAACGACGAGCGTAGCAGCTGCGTACGCAAACTGTTTTGCATAAAGTCCGGTGTAATCTAATACGTACGCATTGTAGCTGCTGGCTGTTGATGGGGCGTGGCCTCGGCATAAACCAATGCATACTGTGGACACACTCCATCTAGGAACCAAACTGACGCCTCTCCTGTATGGTAATCAGCTAACTAGCTGCTCTTACAGTGAGTGCTGGGGGATGTGATAGTTTGGTCCTCATTTTCGTTTGTATGGATTGTGGTTCCACACTCGATGAAAGCAGGCGAACACGTACGCGTTGCGCGTGCGTGTTTGCTGTGCACGTACCGTGGCGTGCGGGCTGTGTGTCACGTACAGTGAGTGCGTGTGTACGTACGTCGTACGTACGGGTGCGTGCGTGCGTGTGTCGTACCACGTGCCGTGCTTGTTGTGCACGTACAAGTGCCAGTGGCGGGAGTACTACGTTAAACGCTCGCTTATTAAGAAAACAATGCCAGCTATGACATTTTTTCATTTTTTTTAATAGTTGAGTTAGTTAATTTTATTTTAATGTTTTCTGTAGTAAAAAATAATGCATGCTGGCGGTATGTGGAAAACCCCGGCGGAAATTTCGAGTGGTTTACGGCACCATCGTCAGCCGTGTACAAACCAGTTGATGCAAAGGTTAATGATACCAATTTTTAGCTTGATGAATGACATAAAACGGCCTCGCTTGCGTCTAGCGCGAAATCCGTACGAAATTGTACTAAATAAGCTGTGTTGTATGATCGCACTAACGTCGATTGCTTACACAAGAATTTTACGAAAATATTTTGCGTACCAGCTTGATGAATCATGAATCTACCCTGTTGGGACCCCACCCGCAGTGGCAAGCGCACACAGGTATCAGAGTCGTACAGTTCCGCACGGGGTGTGTACGAGGGGGTCCGGACCCCCTCCTGCTCGCGCCAGAAAACGCATCTGAGGGGGTCTAATTTTCAAAAAATTCTGGGGTAGAGCCCCCAGACCCCCCCCGTTTCGCGTGCTCCTGTACGCCGGGGACGCCTGGTTTCGCCCCATCTACAATAAAACACCCCAACACACGCGAAAACCTGCGAGAAACCTGAGAGACCTGCCTGAATGCTATCACGCGCTATGTGCTATGTGGCGCCAACTGTGCGCGCACTGTGACTGTGAGGCCGACCGGCCACGTTGATGCGCAAATAATGATATGATACTAGGCATTAGGTATGACTACGCTAGGCACCTTAAAAAAACCCCTAACACTAGAACCCTAACCTACCACTAAACCCTAAAGCCTAGACCTCAACTAACCCTAACGCCTCAAAAAAAAAAACAAAAAAAATTAATTTAACACGTGCTAGTAGTCATATCATATCGCATCTAAAATGCCGTGTTGCCATCAGTGCGCCAAATAAAAATATCACAGAAAGATATTGGAGCTTACGTCTGCGCACGCGCCAACTGCGGGGTCAGGCACACAGCGTTAGCGTCACACCCAAATAAGATCTTCTAACCAATTGCACGGCTTACGTATCTAATGCGTCACAAAAACCGATATGCTCTCACCTACCTCACCGTACTATGCTATCGAGTGGCAACTGAATAGAAGCAAATCGTTCGAGACGCAGACACAGGACACGAAGGTGTATCATGTAACATTGATTGCTCCTGACACATGTCAAGTCACTCTCACCATGTCTTACTTGTACTCTCATACAATATCTATACTGTTAATTACGACAATGGTGTGTGCTGTCTGCTCGCCGACGCAGTATACCTATGAACTGGCGAGGCAAGACGGTGGACCAGAAGAAATTCGCTTGGCATTTGGTGGTATAAAACTAAGTAGGACTATATCAGGAGTTAATAATGACTCCTGATTATATATTAGCCACAAGTTCCCTTCTCGCTTAACACTACGTTGGCTACGACGTGTAACACTCGGAGATCCTGGTCGGTTTAATTATATATGACTATGAGTAGGATCACAGGCACAATTGGAACGTCTCAATAAAAAAAATAAAAACAAAGAAGGTAAATAAACACGAAATGTACGTGCTTATAGGCGAAATAGAGTAGAGAAACATTAGCTTGGTAGTAAATACATTTCGTGTTTATTTACCATTATTTTTATTTATTGAGACGTTTCAGTGGCCTGTGAGTATGGCTGAGAGGGTCCCTATATGTCTCCCGGGTTTACCTGCCAGGAACACGTACCTGGTACTCATATCAATATGCGGGATGCGTACCTCGCGCTACTCCACTAAAACGAGTCTAAGGGAGTCGCCTACGCCTATTCCCTAACGCGAACCTAAACCTAATCGTAAAAATTAACCCTAACCCTTAACCCTAAACATATCAAATAGTGACCAGTGTACGTTCCGGCAGTACCCTGGGGGACATAGACCCTATGAGCGTGAGTATGATTACTGACGCACGAAGGGTCGTTGTCGTATCAGGTACTACATATATATATACCCCTATATATCCGAGGCAGTTTTAGGTTGTTTAGACTAGTATGCATGGCTGAAGGGGTCGTTGTCGTATCAGGTACTACATATATATGTTACATATGTACACACAAAGTGTACCAGCTAGCTAGCTAGACTTGTACTACAGAAGCTAGTGTACCCTAACCCTAACCCTAAACATGCATATACCTCATATAAAAATATAAACATAATTAATAGGCCTATACTAAACAACCTAAAACTACCTCGGGTATACATATGTGTACAGGGTTCTCCAAGCTTTTAAATTATAGCACGGGAGTGCTACTCACCGCAGAGGGGTCCGGGGGCATGGCCCCGCGGGAAATTTTTGAATTGTAGAAGCTCTGAGATGCAATCTGGGACACTGTGTGTAAATTTGAAGCACTGCATGTGGGGTGAAAATGTTTGTTTTGCATGGGCAAAGCCATCGGAAAATTCAAAATAATTAATAGAATAAAAATACCAAAATGTAGGGGTAAACTTGCTGGTTTGCTGGTTCCAAATCGAGTTCACCTCTCATAAATAAATAAAAAAATTATTGTCACCATTGACAATGGCAGAAGTGGTCGGTAAGTGTAACAATCTACTTTACCTCGTGTTAGACTGGGTTACCTGCCCCGTAATAATGCCATTGGAAATTAATTCACGATTAAGATTTCTTGATGAGCTAGAAAACACTTGGATTTGAAGTATGAAAATGAACATTATTGTGCCAGCTAGCCTACACCAGTTGGTTGGGATTGATTGTCAGTTCAGATGCAAAATATTTAAAGCAAAAGGTTATATACCATAGATTAATTTTGGTACTATAACACGCGTATATAAGATAGCTGAGTCGGTTGAGAGTTAGTGTTAGGGTTAGGGATAGGTATACTATATAGGGTGACTGTTTGTACTTGTGTGTGGGACTGCCGTACCCGTAGCATCGAGACCAATGTGTATTAATTAATTGTTTGAACTTCTTGTGTATACACTAGCATGGCGGCTATGATATTTACCATGGCGGGTGCATTTTAGGATGGCGGGCTCGACGATAGCCTGGCAGGCCGCCAGGCTATAAGTGCCCTTGGAGAACCCTGAGGTAGTACTTGATACGACATGAATTGACTTGAACTTCATGCTTTAGTATACTATTATGTTTATATTTTTATATGAGGTATGTTTAGGGTTAGGGTTAGGGTACACTTCTGTAGTACAAGTCTGGTACACTTTGTGTATACATATATATATATGTACCTCGGGTACACAGACGTCCCAAGTCTCCCGGTCTCACCGGGAGACTCCCGGTATGAGACGCTGCTCAAATGGTGGTGTGCTGCGACAAACACATATCGCAGCCCGCCACAACTTTTTTCCTGTTTTTGCGCACTGCGAAAAAACGGCGATGGACCTGGCTTTCTTTCTTGGATTGATGGGCCAATATGCTGGCTCCCTTTCTTGGACTTTCCCAACTTGGGACCTCTGGGTACATATATGTAGTACCTGATGCGACAATGACCCCTTCAGCATTACTGACTCCGCTCGAAACTTTTGTAAGCTAAATGATTCGCATTTCCAGCAAATAGGCGGATTCCAACGGCGGATTCCAAATAGGCAGATACAACGGACCGGGTACCATGGCTACGCCACTTGACAGAATTGCAGTTTAGCTTCTTTGTTTCCATCATTCCGTATTAGAATTCTGAGTTCTCTCCCTTCGTCTTTAAATTGTAAATTTGCAACTTTTTCCACTGCGGTCCGCGGTGCAAGGATTAAGAGCTGTCCACATTTGCATAATTATGTTGCACATTTGCGAAAATGCATTGTGCCAGCATGTTGTTGCAGCATATACCTTACATCCATGAACCGCGATCCGCCGTGTTGATTTGTCGGTTTGATCAACTTGTCTCTCCGTCTTCATTATATAGTCCCTTGGAGTTTTGAAGAATATTCTTTATGAGGAGGTTATGAGGAGGGGGCACAATTTACTTACATGACAAGACCATGCAGACTCTAGTACAGTCTATAGTTTCTAGATGTCCATATGGCGCCACCTAGTAGTGTATGTGTATAATTAATGCACTCTAGTGTTGAATATTACTGCCAAAAAGTTTAGAAGAATGCATATATGCCTTTTCCAGAGACGAAATATTGCAACAGTAAACAATTGGCGGAAGGTTACTGTTGGCTGCCTTTTATAGTCGTATCTCCGATCATGTATGTCATTACTAGCTGCATTGGTCGAAATCATAAGGGGCCTGCGGGCCCGATGCCCATATTTTAAGGCTCGAGCCTGACATTTCTAATACTAGCAAGCCCGATGGGCCCATAGAAAATCTACAGTTCTAGGACAAATACCCCCCGGACAATTACCCCCCAGACAATTACCCGTGACGGGGCCCCCCGGGCCCCCGCCACTCCCGACACAACTATACCCCCCCACCTCCGCCCACCATCACCCCCCCCTGGACACTTACCCTCTCCCCCGGGCATTTAGCCCGGACATTTACCCCCTGGACAATTACCCCCGGACAATTTACCCCTGCCAGACAATTACCTCCCTGGACAATTTACCCTCCCGGACAATTACCATGCCATCCTCACACCCCGGACCATTGTACCCCCGCCGGACAATACTCCCGTGGACAATTACCCGCCCGAAAATACCCTCCGCGACATTTACCCCCGGACAAGTACCCCCCCCGGACATTTTACCCCTACCCAACAGCGCCGCGACAATGCACCCATACTCAGGACATTTACCATTGTTGTCTTATTATTCATCCCTGTTCGAACACCAGTATAGACATCCCACCCGCGCGAGGGCCCCGTCCAACAGGAGGAGGAAATGAAGGTGGCGGAAGATGGGCCCCCGCCCCATCCACTCCCCGACCCAGCCATCCTCACCTCGGATCCCCCTCCCCCACCCCGCCGGAGGAGGGGAGAAGGGTGTGGAGAATGTGGGAGGAGGAGGGGAGAGAGGAAGTGGAGAGGAGGAGGAGGAGGCAGGCGAGGAGGTGGAGGAGGTGGAGGAGGGAGGCAGCCCACGGCCCACGGCCCAGCGAAGGAGGAGCGAGATACGTGGAAGAAGGCTGGCGGAGTGATGGAGGCAAGGGGAATGAAGGTGGTAGTGAGGAGGAGGAGAGCGAGGAGGAAGGGGGAGAAGGAAGGGCGGAGGAGGGGAGAAGGGAGAGTAGCTGAGGGCCAGGTGGTGAGGACGGAGCCCGGCGAGAGGTGTGCCAACGACGGAACCCAGAACGAGAAGAGAGGAGGTTGGAGGATAGAGGAGGAGACTGTAGAGGAGGTGGAGGAGGGGAAGAAGGTGGGAGAAGTGGTAAGAGGAGGAAGGAGGGGGGAGGAAGGAGGAGAGCAGGAGAATGAGGAGGTGGAGGAGGGAAGGAGGTAAGGAGCACCTTCTACCGTCCTCCTTCTCCTCCTCCTCCTTTCACATTCTCCCCTTCCCTCCTCTTCCTGCCTCGCGCTCAACCGGCACCGCACGCTGCATTACGTCTACCTCCTCTACGCTCCTCGCTCTCACCCTCTTATTCCTGCCTCGATTACCACTACCTTTCTCTGTCGGTCTCGTTCTTATCATCGCTCCTCTAAATGTCTAGGGGGTAAATGTCGCGTGGGGTGTTTCTTAAAAAAATTGGTTCGCCCCCCCGGTGTTAAATATCCGGGGGAGGGTGATGGTCCGGGGGTAAATTGTCAGGGGGTAAATGTCCGGGGGTGTATATTGGTCGGCAGGGGGTAATTGTCGCGGGGGGTAAGATGCTCCGGGGGGTTAATTGTCGCGGGGGTGAAATGAGCCATGGGGGTAATGTCCGGGGGTAATTGTCCGGGGTAATATGCCGGGGGTTATTGGTCTGGGGGTGATTGTTCGGGTGGTAAATTTGTCCTGATACGAGGCAAATTACACCCCAGCATTGCAAAATCCGTTCCTGGCACGCCAGCGAAGATGAAAAGTTACCACGGTATCGCTCACGTTTGGTCAAGTTGTGCAGCAAACAGCGACCGCCGCGATCCTGCGTCGTACACTCTAGGGCGCTTGACATTGCGAGTATGAATTGTTTACCAGATGCCTCCAATCAGAATGATTCGGTGCTTGTGAACTTTAGCCATGGTCAGGCCTGTAAAATCCCTTACCTACAGGCCCGGCTGGCCTGTAAATTTGTAGTTGCGATTTGTTTATGTGAGAGAGTGTTATATGTGATATGACATGGCTGTGCAATTTATCAACATCTATATACTTGCGCAGACACACTAATGCAAATTAAAGAATAATCTTCTGCTTTCAGACACATCATCCCCTAGGGGAACTATACACAGATCCGTGGTCTCTGTTATATGCACAATATAGTTTCAATAATATAGTTTCAATAAACTTATACGGTCGCAAATTTTATCGATTTTAGCCGACCCACCGACGCAGGTCATGGTTACGTGGACTACGTTTAACGCGACAAGCAGCACTGTGGTGGAGTATGGCCGGAGCGAACGAGCACTAAATCACAGCCAGAAGGGTTCACTGACGCTGTTCGTAGATGGAGGAGAGGAGTACCGCAAGGAGTACATCCACAGGACGCTTCTCAGTCGACTGAAACCAGACTCCACTTACTGTATATGTTGTCGTTTGTTACACTGCAACTTTATACCCAGCTAGCCAAATCGCGTTTGAATAATTAACGTATCGCCCCATGATGTCACGCTGACATTCTGAAAACGTTTTGTGTGTGTTTTGGGAATGTGACTTTGTGTGGTTTTCCTCCATGTTGCGACAACTTTGAAAAATAATGTTGCACAATCTTTGCGACAGCATTGTCACGACGTTGTCAAAACATTATCAAAATGTTATAGTGTATACGTACCATTCCGGCAACTGTGGATTCAAGTTACAATTAATTAATTAGATTTTACATTTATTTTGCATGACGACATCTCAATTTCTATGTACATGCAGCCATTTTTTGTCAAATGCCGTACAGTTTGCACTGCTGTATGAACGAATGGCATGACAAAAAATACTGCATTTTGACATTTTTGTTTCTAGATTATCGCTGCGGAGGTCCGGAAGCATGGTCTCGTGTTTTCCATTTCCGAACCATTAAAACGGGTACGGAGTGGAGGCCACGAGTGGCCATCTTTGGAGACATGGGATATCATAATGCTGAATCATTGCCACATCTGAGAAAAGAAGTAATGGCGGGGGACTTTCATGCCATGTGTCATATAGGTAAATCAAGGGCATTGCATTAAAATAAGTACACAACGTAACTGATAAATCATGCGACTATTAATTGTATCGGTATAGATTGTGCTGAGTGAAAACAAGTGGTTATGTGTTCTGTTATAGTCCCTAAACCCTAACATACACAATTCTATCCTGCTCAACTACTCACCTCGCAGGGCAGAAACATCAAAACACGATAGGTCTCACTATGCTTCGTCATGCAGATAGCTGAGCTGGATTCTAAAATGCATTGCTACAGGCTCGAATCTCAATTAAATAAGAAACGTGTGAGCTTTATTTTTCTTAAAGGTAATTTCGTTGCTGTGTGGACGTTTGATAAATCTCCATCGTAACTCTTACTATAGCTCATAGGGTTTATATATACGTCCCTCAGTGTACTGCCGGAACGTACCCTGGGTACGGTCCGGTATACCGGAACGTACCCTGGTAGGCTGGTAACTATCTGATATAGTTAGGGTTAGGGTTAGGGTTAGGGAGTAGGCGTAGGTGACTCCCTAGACTCGCGTTAGTGGAGTAGGCGACGGTACGCGGTCCGCATATTATTATAGTAGCAGCAGAGGCATATAAATCACGTTGATTTATATGCTCTGGTACGCAGGGTACGTTCCGGTAGCCGGACCATACCCAGGGTACGTTCCGGCATTACCCTGGGGGACATATATATCGACCCTATCAGCCTTACTATAACTGAAAAGCTGGTGAGACATCTGGATGATGTGTGTTTGAATGGCATCATCTGGAGTGTGTGTAAGCATACTCTTCAGTGGAGGATGATTTTTAACTTACGTTTTATGATGATGATAGTAACAGTCACTGGACGTCACCTCCACTTCTCCCAAATCTTTAACAAATTATAAATAACATTATAAAATTGAGGGACCCTTATTAATATGTTATTTGAAACCTACAACACGCGAAGCCTATAATAATGCTGATGCCTGTATATATATATATATATATATATATATATATGTATATATACTATATATATATATATACACAGGGGAGAAGTAACTTGAACAAGGATCGAGTCGGCGCAACGACTCGCCTACCTCAAAAAGAGGGAGTTCGCATAAAAATGAGGGAGTCCGCAGTCTGAGGTTCAAATTAAAGATATTAACATAACGCATGTCTTGTTTTATAAGTTCATGCAGTTCACGTCTGCCAAATTTCCTCTTTGCACATTGCTGAAAAAAATACAGTAATTCGCTGAGGCGGTGCTCCGGAACGCGAACTATAAGTTAGTATGCAGAATTTTCATCGGAGCTCACCACGGACCTACCTGCAATGTCAAAATCAGGGAGTCCGACAGTAAATGAGGGAGTATTGACTCCGAACTCCGCCGTTAATTTCGCACCCTGTATATATATATACATATCATATAATTATACTTGTATCATATACCTATAAAGTCATAAATCTTATCATCCTAATCTAAATCACATCATGCATTAGCCATACACATGTATATCAATCTATTTTTAGTAACAGCAAATACATACTTGGTAACTTTGAAAGCTAAAAGTTAAGTGTAAAACTTTCTTGGGGGAAATGCGAGGTTTCAACCCTATTTGAGGCCTTAATTAAATTAATTAAAAGTGGTTTTTGTTAGACATGATTTATTCTCTCTTTTATTATAATTATATTTAATAAGCAACTTTATTAATACGTAGTTTTTTCGAATTCCTGCAGGTGATTTTGCATATAACATGGACGATGTAAGTAACCTCGAAGTTGTACTATTCTTCTCTGCTTACAATTTGACACAAAACATTTAACCACTAAATAGAAACGTATCTATTGGATGACTATATAGATGTTCATAAATTCATCAAACGGGGCTCTAGCTGCCTATATTAGGGGTGCAGTCTTCATGCAAACCACTTTAGTCTAGAAGGATATATCTGAGGTGCATAGATGTGTAAATTTGTATTCACAGGATAATGGTAGAGTTGGAGATGAGTTTCTTCGTCAGATGGAGCAAGTGGCTGCATATGTGCCATACATGATTACCCCTGGCAATCACGACTCAATTTAGTGAGTTGAATCCATAGTCAATAAAAAGCATGCTGAATATAAATTTAGTGAGTTTTTGCATGTTGTGTAATACTAATAGGCTTGCATGGCCTAAAGCTGGGCATGAAAGTCTCATCCTAGTTGGCTAAGAAACCATTCTTGATTTTGTTAAAACCCTTAAACAAGTTTAATGTTTGATTCTCATGTTTGACTTGCTTGACTGGTGCAGGATGAATCAGTTACAATGACAATACACAGGCTAATACAAAACATTTGATAGATAACAGTTCACAATCAAAGTGTGCAATATGCATGTTATGTTTACTAAATTTAACAAAAGTAAAATGTGGTTATTTATTAATTGTTTTGAAAAGCTGTTTCACATAGAACATTCTGTTATTGTAATTAACATTGTCATTTTCCAGCAACTTCACTCACGTGAGGAATAGATTCACAATGCCTAATACGAACGACAACATGATGTACAGGTACAATGCAAGAGTGTGGTTCTGTCTGCTGTCTACATGTGTGAACATTAATTAGTTTAGTAACAGCTGTCATTCTGTGTCTGTATGTTTCATCACTAGGTCACAATTCATAATTCATTGCTTTACTCATCACTTCATTCGCAAATAAAATAGGTGGCCTGAGAAGGTTGGTTATTAACCATGCTGAATTGCATCAAATCTTGGTGATGGCATTAATCAAACGTTCATTTTCGCATTGTGAGTGCACGATCATGAGTAATCTTCCTCGTTTTAACACGGCAGCTGGAACCTAGGACCGATACATTTCATCAGCATCTCAACAGAGTTCTACTACTTCATCCAGTATGGATTCTGGCAGATCGTGCGGCAGTACCAGTGGTTGGAACGTGACCTCAAGGTCGGTAGCATCTGCTGCCACATACATAAGCATATCACATGCAGACTGACGGTTGGTTTCGCAGGGCCACCACATGCACACCAAGGGCAGCATTCGAGTTAGGAGACAGCAACACCTGAGTTGCGAGACCACGGGATAGATTTGTCAGAATCGCAAATTAGTGCTGTGAATCATACGTGCACGGTGCTACTAGATGTGCTTTCATGTGGATTATTCCTAAGCAGCGTGTGTATGCCGTTCATAGAACGTGAATATATGTACAGTGGCCAGCATGTGCACCTTTAATGAACCTGCCCTCCCCCAGCCCCGGAAATATTCCATCGGTTCCAAAATAGACCATGTGTTAGTCATCTCAAAGCTGCTCGGGATGATAAATCATCTCTAAAGTAATATAACGCGTATACATTGGTAAAATAATGCAGGGATTTACGTAAATTGGAAGTGGGTGATTTGAACTGTTGCAGTGCTGAATCGCGGGTCCCCGCGTGGATCGCATTAATGTAAGGAATGCTGCACAAGCTAACAGCTCGATCCACACTCTGCCCACCATTAAGTACATGGCGGGTCAGCAGCTAAGCTGAGTGATTGTTAACCTGCAATAAAATTCTACTTTTGGTACTGTGGTTCAATGCATCCGTTCCATCTCATAGGAAGCAAATCGGCCGGAGAATAGGGCTAAACGACCCTGGATCGTCACGATGGGGCATCGTCCTATGTATTGCACAAACACGGATGAGGATGACTGCACTTCCGTCCGTGATAAGGTGAGAGTGCCGCTAGGCTTGCAAGGATGGCTGCATAAGGTATATAAGGATGCAGACCATGGTGCTTAACGTCCGATGGGCAAAAAAAATTGCGATATTTTTCCCGGTGATATGACAAGTTGGTGGTAGATGTCAACATTTGGATAGCTCCACAGACCTTTGAGATGAGGATAGAAGATTCTAAAACTAGGATAGCAGTGGTGATTGTGGTGTGTGGATGATAGATGCTAAGACTATAGGATAGCAGTGAAGAGAGGTGGGATGTGAATGAATATGTGGTAAAACCTAGATGAACAGAAAGAAGTAATGAGAGATAATTCATGGCAATATTAAGATGTCTGCAGAGAGGTGTACGAAATCTGACGCACATACCAGCATTGCGAGACCAGAGTTTAGGGTGAAAATCTTGCAGTAGTTGCTATAACAGTGCAGTCCCCATCAGACTGCTATTTAGCCCTGCGAATTAAGGAGTGAGCAAAAATAGCTACCTGTAGTTTATTTTCCAATGGTGCTTCTTTTCTAAAAGAGATCTATCCAAGTGAATACAAATTGCAAAATCTCACGTATGACCATGCAGCAGCATTAATCCACTATGCATCGTATTATTACTAACGATTGGTTACATTCCCACATAAATCACTCACGCTTCATTACGTTTGATCACGCCATCCTATCCCCGCTACCTGCACCGTCACTCTGCGACAGTGCTGCGTCCTTTGTCTTGTCACCTTGGATCGTGCCTATCACCTTGCCCACTTCCCGCGTCGATTCTGCAGCTACTGTAACGTCATCTCGCAACGCTGCTGCCACTGATTTCAGGTGCGGATAGGTCTCTTCGGTCGGTTCTACGGCCTTGAGGACCTGTTCTTCAGGCATGGTGTTGACTTGGAGCTGTGGGCGCACGAGCACATCTACGAACGCTCGTGGCCGCTCTACAACCGTCAGGTGATACGATACAGTAGTATATATATCAGCATCGAGATTTCATTCGCGCTTTCAGTTTTTTCCACGATGGTTACGTATGTATCATAGTGATTGATTAGTAAGTGTAGCGGGAGAAGGCGAATTAACTATGTAGTTTTCTAGTCAGCCACTCCATACTATAGTTGTACGATAGGTCAAGATGAGTAAAATATTTTTAATATATGATATAAAAATAAATGTATATAAACGAACAGTAAACCCTCTAACGAGAGATTAAACAGTATGGCGGTGCCATAAAAGAGAGAGAGAGAGAGATGGCACATGTACGTGATGAGTACTACCGTCGTATATGCCATGTGCACATAAACAGAGAAAAGTGCAATTGTGTGTATGTGTATGCATAATGAACATTGTATGGTGTGTATATGCGTAATTAAAAAATGTGTGAGAAAAGTTCAAATACATAGAAATGCCAAGATAGAATTCGTGCTAAGATAAGAAATTGTGCCTGACTTCCTTGTAGACAGATCGTAGAGAGCAAGTTTATCTGCGATTGTCATAGTTGGGCGAACCTCCAAGTTGTTAGCGCAGGCAGAGACTGCTGTGGTGTGAAAACAACGGGCCATGCGTTGAGATCAAGTGCACCTGAGTGTTACGTTCTCGGTCATGATGGCAGATTATTGGTAAAATCTGTGTAGCGACGATGGCAAGTCGACAGGTTCGACGTTATTGTGTCAGTTAAACACTGCGATACCATGACGACCGACCGACGAAATTCTTCTCGATTCAGGTATTTAACGGAAGCTTGTCGCAGCCATACACCAACCCCGGTGCTCCCGTTCACCTAGTCACAGGAGCCTCGGTAAGCGTGGTCATTATCTACATGGTGTGGTAGCTATGTCGAGTGCAGTGGTGCATAGGGCACTGTGGCAAGTTGGATTCGGTACGAAGGCAAACATTCCCTACAAAGGAGGGTCGCTTATCATTTATCAACAATTTTATGTGGGAAAGAGAGAGACACACACACAATGTGGAATTTATGGGACGTGCATGAAGGTAAACCAGATGGGGCAATCATGGTAGTTTATTGCTGCATGTTGATATCAGCCGATTTACACAGTGCCACAGCAAGTAGGGTGCAACCTCGTCCAGAACACTCGCCATTAGTGCCGAAGCATATATTATATTTATATATATAAGCGTATAGCTCCAGAGTATATTCTATTTATGTGTGATTATACCGACTAAGCTATTCGCTTTGCTCTGCCCCCGACCTGCCGCAGGGATGTTCGGAGAAGCACGACAAATTCGGCCCGGCAGCTGTGTGGACGGCCTTCAGAAATAGAGACTACTCGTACACACGCATGACTGTGCACAACCGCACGCACGCCTACGTCGACTTGTACTCTGTCGACCAGGTAATACCCGGCCTGCTGCCTTCACGTCATTCCGCACTCCCGCTCCCTGCTGCTGCGCGGTACACGTCGCACACGACAGTCCCTCCAACTGCAGTCCGGGGGCCTGCTGGTTGTGCCATCCTTCTGCGGTCGAAGATGGATTTAGTTGTGTTTGGTGGTGGGGGGGGGGGGTCAGTGAGACGAGGCGTATTTAGTATAGTGAGCACGTGTTGACACAACCAATGGGGAATTATTGGGGAGTGGTTGAGAGGGGTCAGGCATGCTTATGGTGGGGAGAACTAAAGTAGATGGTGAGTGGGGGTGGGAGAGGAAGGTTAGAAAGGCTGCGACATATTCGATAGTCAGCCTGTGTAAAAAACCCAGGAGGAATTATTGGGGGAGTGGGGTAAAGGGGTGAGATATTGCTTAGTACGAAGAAGTGAAAGAGAGGATTTAGGCATGAATTTAGTGGGGAGGAAGAGCAGTGGGTTTATTCGTGGATTTAATTGGGCGAAGAAGTGAAGAGGGGTTAGGATTAGATTTAGTGAGAGAGCAGGAGCAGAGTAGGTTGGATCTTGCTATCTCATTAGGAAAATACTCTTGATAATACATGATGGTGGAACAGTATTGTTTGGGTGTGGGGTTGGATGTTTCAATTATCTTGGAACTGGAAACTACTAGATAATTTAATTGTTGGGAATAGAAGTCAACCATTGTGGGAAAAGCAGAAATTGTGAATTTAACCAGAAACTGCGAAATGGCATATTTTTCCCTGGAAAACTAGGAATTGACCTTCCTCCCTGTTGCTCCCCATACATGCATCATATCAGGAGCTAATAATGACAATAATTTGTCATTATTAGCTCTTGATAATATTGATATAGATATTGAATATGATTATTAACATTTAATTACATATGTAATTTATTATTCAGGCTGGTTTATCTAAATTGGCATGCCAAGGCTCAGATGACTAGGGTATAGGGTGATTATTTGATTTAATATGCAAATTCATGCAGAGTCAATGTCAAAAGCTAGAGTTAAAGACTAATTGGGTGAGGGAAAGACTGCGCCATATATCGTGCGATAGACATTTATGAATATAGGCTAGCAATTTATATGTAATGGGTTATTATGTATGAGTCGCTTAATGCTGCTCGTAATTTATGCAATATCCTCGTTCAATTTCTGTTAAATTTATAATTAAATTGTTAGAAAATCCACCAGAAACACTTGGTGATTGGAAAACTGTTTGACCTGGCACGCTGTGGACACACTAGCCGATTTTTCATGCGATTGAGCCACTGAGATAAGGGCTAGGGTTTTGATATTATTTAAAAAAAATATGCAAAGTAGGTAGGGTTTTGTCCAATTATATAGCAGTATTATATAGACACGGCAGATAACAAACAATCTGTGGTGTCAACCTCGTCTGGTTCGTTTTACAAGATTTCATTGACAATATCTTTAATGCAAAATTTCTGCTATGAACATATTATGATTTATACTATTATTCATATATTATTATTATTATATAATGATTTATGCTAAGAAACATCAAAAGCGGGTATAGCGCCATCTACGCGTGAAAATTGTGATTCATTTTGGTTTATAAATTATTTATAATTTTATATATAATATTATTTATTATTTTCACATAAAAAATTACACATATAATTATCAAGAGTATATAATGGGAGTTCCTCGCTATATACTCTTCGTTTTCTATAATGTACGCGTTGGTTGCTCAATTAAAACTGACTTCTTCTCACTCACGCATTTGTGTCCTTTTTTTGTGGTGAGCTACAGTGTCATTGACACTTTCATTTATATTGTACATTGCCTGTGCCCATATGTTGTGCACCGTATGTCTAAACACAGTCAACGTGTGCTCCCATGCAGCAGGGAACAAAATATTTGTTATTTAGTTTTAGGCAAGTTCGAACAAAAAAACTAGATTGTTTCAATAGGCAATCACGTAAATTGTTAATATATATTTTCTTGCAAATAGTGTTTAATCAATGCTGGCGAATTCCTCTGCAATGTGAATGCAATAATATTTTAATTTGTGATTTGGATTACCATGCAGTAGAAGGAACCTGAACCTGATATAGCATAGAAAAATATTCAGACACTTTGGTATTAAATGGGGATACCATATATACAAATAATAAAAGTCTTATTTTGGCTTCCAGAAAGGGTCTTATAAGTCCTTATTTCAACATGTGTCTTACTACTATGAACCCTGTTATAGATGAAATGCAATACGAAATTAGATGTTATAGCTAGTATCTTAGCTAATTATACTTTCTTGTCTAGAAATAATTGAATAAGTAAATAAATTAGCAAGTTCTGGCAGTGATCAAAAAAAGCCTATAGGGTTGCATAAATTCTATAATGTAGTGCATTCTATTTAGCTTAGATTTGGTGCTTTAGATGCCACTGCATGCTTTTAAGTTGCTGATATGCCTGCATATCAGACAGAATTTGATTGTGATAACAATATCTGTGTACCATGTGTTACCTTGAAAATTCTTATAATTCTGGCGCATAGAATTAGTACGTTAATTGCGAAGTAATTTAAAGGGACAGTAGCCTATAGGATTTTACTGTATACAACTGTACTTACTGTATAACAAATCGTCTATACCCACACGTATTTGTTACCAGATACCTAATTTAATTGTTATAATTAATTACACATCAGCGCTACGAAATTTGAACAGCGCCATGACACCCGCGACCGTGCTGCCACCCCGAAAAAGTTGCGTATTTGACAATTTATTTTGTACGTTACAGACCGTGGGCTAATCGCAAAAGGGCAATTATATTTATACCTAAATGCTATTTAACCGAACGATATTCATTTTAGGGCAAATTTATCCATATTATAACTGAAACTATATATGTCGTTTATAAGATATTACAATCCTTTTGCTTTTAAATGAATAAATAAGAAACACCCTCGGTCTGTAGCCCTAGGCTGAAATGTGGTTTTGCGCAACTTATCAGATCGTGCGCTTTGAGTGGCGTCACCGTCGTTTTAATAAAACTGTTGTCGTTAGTTTTAAAACATTAAAAAAAAATATTTCTAATGGTGATTGAACCATGAAACTTTTTATGTAGCGTAATTATAACCTAAATTAGCTGAAAATAACCCTAGAATCTAGAGTAAACTTTCCCTTTAATGTGATTACTTGTTTTATTATTTGCTTGAAAAGCAACGTGAAATAAGTATTGAATTGATATGACCGGATCTCGTCATAATTGCAGGTGGTGCATGTTTACACATATGCGGGGCTCTTTTTAATAAAGCATTCTCAAATGAATAATAAATGCAACGTTACGTCTATTTTATTAGCTCACCTTGACATCGTCAAGCTGAGCTATTGCCATGGGTCGTACGTCCGTCCGTTCGTCCGTCCGTCCGTCCGTCCGTCCGTCCGTTCGTCCGTCCGGCCGTCCGTTTGTCCGTCAACATTTGGCTATGGTCAACGATAACTCAGGAACCGTTTGACCCACTTGTTTGAAATTGGGTATAGTTGTTACTGCTATGCTCCCATATTAAACGTCCTATTTTGGAGCACGCCAGTCGACGTACTTTCAAGCCATGGCAATTTTTTGGCAAAAATGGGGTATATTATGCATTAGTCAGTTTCCATGGTCGGTCGCGTAGCAGCGAACGGCGGCGAGCGCGATCGCCTCCGTCGGCAGGCAGCTCGAGCCATCGTTCAAATGGATTTTGCTTCATTTTTGTAGGTGCATGAATAAGGGCTGGGGTTTGATATATTTAAAAAAAATATGGCAAAGTAGTAGGGTTTTGATCAATTTATATAGCATATTATATAGCACGCAGATAACAAACTCAAGCTGTGGTGTCACACTCGTCTGGTTTCGTTTTACAAAGATTTCTCGATTGACAATATTCTTTAATGCAAAATTTCTGCTATGAACAATTATGTTGTAATACTATGTATTCATACTATATCATTATTATTATATAATGATTTATGCTAAGAAATTCAAAAGCGGGTATAGCGCCATCTACGCGTGACAATTGTGATTCATTTTGAGTTTATAAAATTATTTATAACTTTTATATATGATATGATTTATTATTTTCACATAAAAAAATTACACATATAATTATCAAGAGTATTAATGGAGTTCTCTCGCTATATACTCTTCGTTTTCCTATAAGTACGTCGTGGATTGCTCAATTAAAAACTGACTTCGCTCGTCCACTCACGCATTTTGATTGTCTCTTTTTTTGTGGTGAGCTACAGTTGTATTGCAATATTCATTTATATTGTACATTGCCGTGTGCACCATATGATTGTCCACCGTAATGTCTAAAACACAGTCAAACGTGTGCTCCATGCGAGCAGAACAAGATTATTTGTTATTTCAGTTTAGGCAGAGTTCGAAACAAACAACCTAGATTGTTTCAATACGGCCAATCAACGTAAATCTGTTAATTCATACTTTTCTTGCAAATAGTGTTTTAAATCAATTTGCTGCCTTGCGAATTCCTCTGCAATGTGATGCAACTAATATTTTAATTTGTGATTTTGCTGGGCATACATGCAGAAAGCTTAGAACGCGAACGCTCGAAACCTGATATAAGCATAGAAAATTATTCAGGACACTTGGTATTAAATGGCGCTACTACACATATATACAAAGTATGGACTTGATATTAGATAAGCTTGAAATATTGATTCTATTAACATTTAATTACATATGTAATTTTATTATTTCAGCGCTGGTGTTTATCTAAATTGTGCATGCCAAGGCTCAGAATGACTAGACGGTATAGGGTGATTATTTGATTTTAATTATGCAAATTTCATTGCAGAGTCTCAATTTCAAAAGCATAGAGTTAAAGGACTAATGGGTGAGCGGGAAAGATGCGCCATATATCGGTGCGATAGAACATTATGAATATAGGCTAGCAATTTATATGTGAGTTGGGTTATTATTGTATTGTGATGTCGCTTAATGCTGCTTCGTAATTTATG